TCACCTCTTGGAATAAACTTGGTAAAGCTCCATGGTTGAGCATGTGGGAATCTCTTACTCCCTTGTTGTCCAGACACAACTTTGGTTGGGCACGGCAGGATAGTGAAGAATTAAGATGGAGGAGGAGCAAAAAACAAATTGAAAATTAATTAAATTTAAAAATTAAATCACATTATTTTAACTAGAGTTAAATTTCAATTCCCACTCAAAGTAATTATCTAAGAGTTTATGTGTTTTCAGGCAACCACAACAGAAAATTACAAGAGGGGACTGTGCGAAAGGGGCAACAAATCATTTTCCTTCCCTGACAGCATTACACCTTGTCATCCACCTGGATGTGGGCTCCAGAAAGCCCCCACACCCTCTCACCCAACATTCCCATAAAGTGGCTCACAGAGGTTAGCCTTGATCAAATTGCTGACGGCTGATGGAAAATGGCTCCCAGAGTCATACCTGGGCTGTGGTCTCCTGTTAAATCTCACCTGAAACTGTGTCCGTTTCTGAGGATCACCCTTCAGGAAAGATACACGCCAATTAGAAAGCATCCAGAGACTACAACTAAGGATCAGGGTTTCAGGAAACACAGTCTCATAGGATTAATCATAGGGTGAATGGACTTGTTCTTTAATCTCAGGAAGAGAAGGCAGAAGAGAGCTGTGTAAAGGCCTTTAAATACATAAAAGGATGCTGCAAATAAAAAGGGAATTAACTTCTCCCTGTGCTCCGTGTGAAGCGCAAGGAGGAATAGGCGTTAAATGAAGCAAAGTAAATGCATTTGAGGTGTTATGGAAAGAGAATTCAGAGGCAGTTTGAGAGACGTCTATGGTATCATCATGCAAGGAACAGAGAGCTCACGCACCTTAGCCATCTTATGAAAACAGATGGGTACCCTCTAAGGTGACAGCTGAAGAAAATCACTTCTTACTCACTTCATTTAAAGTACAGCATTTCAAACTACTTTTCTTGGTGGGGGGGTAAAGATTTCACCAGTCAATTTTTTTCAGATCTAATGAGCATGTATTACAGGGTAACAATGCAGAGTTTACATGGTAAAATGTTATACTCTGCCTTTTGGAGGCAATTGGCATAGATGGTCAGAATGTGCCTTTTATTATTTCACTAATATATTTACAGAATAAACTATAGCCAGAGCAAATGTAATCACAGGACTATCTTTATACTCAGCCCACTAAGTTGTGGCGCATTCCCAACTCACTAAAAAAACACTGGGTAACTTGACATTTGAGGGTCTGCTTAGCATCTCGGTAGTCTCATCTTTTCTTCAGAGTAGTTTCGATCAATATTCCAATATCCTGGAGTTACAGGTTCATCCCTCCAGAAGAATAAAAATATATCCTTCTGTTAAGGAAAGAATGCAAGAACAGGAAAACAAGTTCAAACAGAGGTAACTTCAATCTACCAGTATACAGCAGCTCGATTATGGCTTTGACTTTCCCAGTGTGCTGCTTTGGTCATACGTAATTTTTTCAGTCCTGATGTGTCACTAATAAAACTTGATCTATCATGCAAACCAAGAATCACTTCTAAATTTGCTTTTGTGATTACATTATCTGACTGGGAGCCTCCAGTCATAAACAGCTATTTCTAATTTAAAAGTAAAGGCTAGTAGCTCCTGAGAGCAGCTTAAAGAGCCATTCACAAAACAATGCTATGATACAGAATGCTTCAGCTTGAGGAAGGTTACGGTCACAGAAATCAGACACTATAAAAAACACCAACTAGATTCTTTCCTTAGGAAATAGCTTTAGCAAACATTAAGCCACTGGCCAACAGTGGCTGGTGTTCTCCGACTTCGGAACAGTTGCCCATCGTGAATGTTTGTGTTTTCAGTATCTACAATTTCTGAGAGGAGCTTCTGACACACAATTGGCAAAAGATGATCCTGCATCCAAAAGCGGCCGAATGCTAGTTTGCAGCAATGGCCATTTTATTTTACGCAGAGAACATTTTGCCACCTAACTGAAAAGCTTGAGTGTATTTGGATGTCTCTTTTCAACCACAATTAGGCAGATGTTCACAGGGGAGCCAGAGCCACACAAGAATGCTACCTCTGCTGAATTTCAGGGTTGTGTCCAAAAAAGTGCCAAATTCACATGGCTCCAGTCATCCGTCCTGAAACACACTACAACTTTTTAACTCGCTTTCTTGAAAACTCAGGAAAGCTGCGAACACACTGAAGGCAAGATCTTCCAACAAAGTCTTTAGAAATCACAAAGACACAGTGACTTGTTTTTCCCACAGTATGTTACAAGTTTAATTGTGCAAAAATACAGTCATCAAGACTTCAACTTTGTTGCGAACTGAAGATAATTCCAGTGATGTACAGGCATTGAAAGAAGTACTACTGTAATTAGAACAAATACACCGTAACTGTTGTTGAGACAACCAACCAGTTTGATACACTGAGATACTGTTCTCAAGTGATTTAGACAACCTGTATTTAACTACTGTACATCAAGAGAATCAAAGAAATGACATCTAAAAAGAAAGCTAGTAGCAAACTAATGAAATTTAAGGCTGCACTAACTCAAAAGAACATTAAAAAAATGGTTTAGACAGATTCCCCAGTGATGGCCAAGAACTAGTCTGCGATGCTGCAGGTGCCCTGTGTAACTCCTCTTCATTCAACACGGTATATATTGTGTTTCAGCCACACGAAAAGTTTTCCTAATGCCAATATTTCTTTCAAGCACAGGAAGATGACGCCTTAACAACCTTTAAAATTGTATTTCAAACTATGAGACACCAATGGTGTTGCAAAAGAAATAGATGAGAAAAAATACCCCAAAAACCTGTCAGAGCTCAGTCCTCTGGCTCCACCACTTAATAAAACAAAAAACTCCCACCAAAATAATACATATGGAAAAGAAAGGCATTGCTGAATCCCCTCGGCCCCGTTAAAATCTTTCTGTAGCACCTACATCACTGAGGAAAAAAACAGTTTTCAAAGCAATTCCTCTCCTTGCGCATCCATGTTTTAAGACATTTGTAATGCTATTCTGTGCAGCTACTTTTTGGTCTTAACAAATCTATGTGCTTCTTGCAAAAGCGTTTCAACATCTTCATTATCTTTGTCTTCTGAACTTGGTTCCCAGTCAGAGTCTTCATCAGTAGGTTCGCACTCCTCTTCCTCATCATCTATAAAGCTGTCATTAAGGTCATATTCATTTGGTTCATCATCATTGGCACCATCTTTCTCCACAGCCCTTTTTCCTGTAGGGACAAAAATGTCATATATTCATGAATCATAAATACAGAACTAAAGAAACCTTCCAGAGACCATCTAGTCAGTCTCTCTCCTCAAGAGAAGAAAGAATCAACTAAAGCACTCTACTCAATGCTGACAATATTGGGCTTGATTTTCAAGACTCTCATGAAAAGCTGTAGCATCTCTCTCTGAGCTCTCCTGCAGCACTTACCAGTCTGATCACTTAAGAAATCATCCTTACCAGTTTTTCTTCCAGCACTTGGAAAATAGTATCAGGCCTTTTCTGATAACATCTTCTGATATCAGAAGAAAACTGTATCAGATAATGGCTTCTGATAACTCTCCTTTGCTTAAGGAGTGGCACACACAATTTTCCTAGTAGTCTTCCTGCTACTTCTGTACCTAAACAACACAGCTATCTTGCCACTTAGCCTCTAGCTACTGCTAGATGGCTATTTTGACCCTAGATTTTCTGCCTTCATCCATCCATACTTACTTAGGACTATCTTACACTCTTACTCTTTGGAATCTGACATTCTGCCTTCATCCATCCATACTTACTTAGGGCTATCTTACGCTCTTACTCTTTGGAATCTGACACGGCTTTTAATTCCCATTCACTTTTTTCCTGAGCTTCAGGTGAGAGAAGGGAATCTACTAGATCACTCGCCTCCCATGTTCTCAACTTGAATCCATGCTGGACAGTCTGTGCTTATGAGAATAATAAGACCAAAACCTGCTTAGCAAAGAAAAGCTCTTCTCCACTTTCACAGCACTGTCAGTGGTATCGTTGGATGTTTTTGGGTTTTTTTGTCTGCTTCCAGGGAAGTACAGCTATGCTCATCCAGGAAGCCTGGCACAAATTCAATCTCAACACTACTACTTGTAAAAAAAGCAAGCAGGATTTTACTAAAATAATGACTACTTTCTCCTCAGGTAAGTATTATCAAGTATCTCCAGCACTACTAAATGCCCAAAAAACAAAAGAGATTGGTTGCATCCCATGCTGATGTGCCCACTCACAACATGAGAACATACTCACCATTTTTTGAAGTTCGTTGTCGGGTTCCTCTTTCAGTTACTAAAGAAAGGAAAGTTCTTAGTCAGGACAGAGTACAATCAGGCATAAGGGTTTGTCATAGAGGTTGCTACAGTAGAAGATTGACTTATTAAAATGCTGCAACAGTTGTGCTGTATTTACAAGCATAAAAACCTACTCTACTGCCCAAAAACCGTTTTATTTGTATTGAATGATTCCTGAGAGATTACCTGGATGAACTGTTCTTACAATTATGAACCATGCCATCTGTAGACAAACGTCATCAATACTGGTTGTTTCTTTTTCAAGCAGAAAATTGGAGTATTTAAAAGCATTTAAATATTTTACACCATTGTTTCCATAAATGCAATTTCTCCTTAATAATGTCATAATCCTGATTCTTTAAAGTAAAATAAATTTATCATTACATTTCCATAACTATTCTGCTCTGAAGTATTGTTTATTGCATTGGGATTTCAAGTAGAAAAAAATCTCCAAGTCAAATCATCAAGAAAAAGCATGAAAAAATACTGAGTATCTTTTCGAATTCTTTGAGAACATACAAAATGTAAACAGAACATTCCTCTGTGTTTTTCAACAAGTCTAGTTACTGGAATGTAAAAAGACTAGAAAATTTTAGAATAGAAACTCAGGTTCAGACTTAATTATATTCCTGCCAAACCTCAAGAGAACATACATGCAAAAACTTGTTCTCTCAGTAAGAAAATCGCTGGCAAAAAATAAAATAAAATAAAAAAAGATGACAGACATGCTTGCAATGTTTGTTTTACAGCATAAGACTTTAAAATTTTGTTACCTGAGGATTTCCTATCAAAAGAAAAATAAGAATAAAAAGTAAGTATGAAATCTTCAGATATAAATCTATACAGTTACTTCAGTAATACCTAAATATATTCCCTGTTTCCATTTTAATACTCCAGCTCTGAATGGAGGAAGTAGAATACAGAGATCTGGTAATATTACACTGTACCATGTTTCATTTTCAATAAAACCTATTAAACTCATGAAAATAGCTACTTGCCATATGGCATTTGTGCCAATTCCTAAGATACAAAGCATGCAAACTACGTCAACTGTGTCTGACCCAGCCCATCTCACTTCAGTTGAAAAACATTTGAAAAAGTGAGTGCAAGTTTGCAGAGGCCAAGCAACCTTCCTTATCACAGACAAGGGCAAGACCTCACGCTTGAGAAGAGAAGGGTACAGGGCAATACAGAGAAAGCTGCAAATGTGGTGTTATGCACTTAACAGTAGATGAAAGCGTTTTATTCCAACTTTTTGGTTGGGTTTCCCCCCCCACTTCGAGCTATATTGAATAATTTGGCTTACCTGGAGGTGCACTGTGCTTGTATTCCAGCTTGTGCTGTGGATTCTTCCTGCAAAGAAGAAAACAGTAAAAGCTTGATTCACCACCTTGTTCCACATACTTAACAAGCCCAGAACTCCTTGGTATTTTCTGGATAATTTTCTTTTTAAAATAAAATTCTGTGACGAGTGCCTTATTGCAGTGTCTCAGCTTATGGAATGTAGGGTCAAAAAAAATCAGGTTAAGTAAGAGTTCCTCTTGTTTAAGCAATTTTAAAAAAAAAATAAAAATGGTCGGTCAAAACCAAGAGATGAGGTAGTTTCCAAAGTTGTAAGATGAGATGCATTTGTTCTGCATAATAAGAACCAGTCCAATTATTTACTCTCACCAAAAATGAAACCAGAACATAACTTGTGGTGCATAAAGTACAATGCATGCACAGTGCATCACAAGTCTGAGATATCCAGGTGTAACCTCCATATTCTGCAACGTAAGGCTACAAATTGAATAATTTGGGAAAATTAGAGAATTTGGAAAGAATTGCTTTTCTCAAGTGATCGCAAGGAGAGGCCATGGAAGGATTCTTCACAGAGATAACTCATTTCTGCAGCACACTGCTGCAATCCAGCAAGTTCAATATACAAGTGTGTATGTCTTCTGTTAAAAAACAGCATCAAAGCACTGAAAGAAAAATCTGAAGTCAACTACTCTTCTGCAATAAATGTTCCCCTCATTCAGGCTGTGATCCAGGTCATTAACACACTGATTTATACCCCCGCCAAACAGTTATCCAATGCTGCTCTGATGTTTTAACTTGGTCCAACTTACATTGTGCTAATCTCTTGCGTTAGCGTATTAGAGGCTTTTCTCAGGGCTGCATGTTAAAATAGTTTCAACTCGATTTATTTTTGTGCAGAAAATTTAAAAAATTTCTAACTTTGGAAGAAAACCAGTTCAGCTGTCCTAATTTTTGCTTCTGAAAACAAGCAACAATTAAAGCCCACTATTTAAGAATGACATACCATGTGACATTGCTTGAAACTTGTGAATTTCTGCAACTGCAGAAGTTCTTGTATATTTTACAAAATACCCTTGCGGTGAAGACTGCCCTGTGAAACTAGTTGTTTATTTATGTTTTCTTATTCTTTAAAAAACAGAACATAGTTACCCTTCAGCAGAAGAAAATCTTATGTCAAATAACTTGTGACAAATTTACATACTTCAGGTTGATTTACAATTCTATAGCTACTGCTATCCCAAAGTACATTATGTGTGCATTAGAAGTGATAGGTATCTGAACACAAAAATGGAAGTACAGCTTCCTATTAAATACACTGTACTGAAACAAAAAGAATTGCCGATTTCAGTACTTTACTACTGTTGTCAACATGAGACCATTTGATCCCAACTCAAGGCACAGCATTTAGGTCACTCAATTATGCTCCCTTCAAGTAGCAGCCAACAGATAAAGACAACAAAAATAACACAAAACCCCTTCAAATTACGTCTGTTGCTTTGTTGAAAGAATTATCATTGCTTCATGGGTGCCTCTTTTCCTCTACCCTCAAAGAATGAAACCCAGATTAAGAAATGATCAACTAATACAGCACAGAGGTTGTCTTATCTGAAAGAGAGACAATGTTGGTTTTGGATAAAGCATTCGTTGTACTCCTGAAAAGTATGTTGGCAATGTCATTACCGGTATAAACCCAGATTTCTTATCCCAAGATGAAAAATTAATCTCATAGATGTTTGTCAGAAAAGAAACACTTTTTCTGCACTAGTTGAATATAACACGGCTTTTTCTTAAAAGCTACCCTCACTTTGTTACATTTCATAGAGAACACGCTCTTTAGCATCACCACACTTTCTGGGAAAGAGAGGAGAGGATGTTTCTGCTCAGGCACAATCTCCATTAACAGCAGCTGTTAGTTTCACTATGCCCCCACAGAAGTGCCAGTGCCTCAAAATATATCCTTTTGTCCATTGTGTCTATTGCACAGTAGTCATTAAACTTTGCTAAATAACAAGCGTAAAACCTAGACATTGAGAAACAAATGGAATAAAACAATCTTTTGAAGAAAATCAACAATGCTTAAAAGAAACGGCAGTCAGCCATAAACCGGATTTTATTGCTGTTGCTTAAATTATGCTTGCTAACAAATCAAATACTGATTAAAATAGTTTTTGTACAAAACCTCAACAAATACTTTATCAAAATTTAAACTACTATATCAAGAACAACATGTAACAACAAATTTTTGTTTATACTGCTTGTTGACAAGTGAAAAAGTGTTGATCTCTAGGTCACCGGATAAGTTCCAAAGTCATGTTTTCATGTTTGCCATCTGAAATCACTAACAAATACCTTCCACACTTTGATGCTTTAAATGTAGCAGTCTGTCCACAGTAAATTTCTGAAGGCTACAGACAAGATTTAAGATCAAGAATTATTCTATTGTCAATTTGCAACTCCAGAGGAGAACATGCTTAACCTGTAAAACAAGAAAAGTCATTTTGTACAGTGTTTCTTACCTGTAACAAGCAGTTCCATATGGACATTCAGGCCGGTTATCATTGTCATCCTGAGTTACAATCTCCATTTCATGATAGTCATCATCATTAGGGTGACTGAACTGCTGAAAGTGAATGGGATTCTTCCTGCAAAAGACAAATACATCGAGAACTGACTGTTCCATTTAAACACGAGAAGCGGAGATAAGAAAGGTGTTACTGAATCAGTGACAACGCATTTTTCTGTGGTTACATAAAGAGAAGCTTTTAATGTTTTAACTTTATGCAGAATGTAAGACCTACTTCAGGATAACAGAAGAATAGTTTTGTCTCAGCACATGCTGCAGAAGAGGTTAGAGCAGGAATTTTCCTATTTGCCATCAGCTTTAAGTTTCAACCTCCAACACGTATGCAATCTACTGACACAGTCATATAGCATGAATCTTACTCAGTGGCCGACTTGCTCAGTTATGACTCCCTCTGGAGCTATCACAGTGCTATAGAAATCACTGCCGAAGTCTTAGCTCAAGTTAGAAGGGCCAATGCATGGCAGCCGAACAACTGCGGTATTAAAGACTTGGGTGAGCACCTCTTAGCTTCAGGCATATGTCTCAATTATTATTTCTGTTCTGTATGCAAGTTACTACTCAAATACTTCCAGATGGAACAGCCTGCTGGACATTACATTGATCATGCTGTCAAGTTTGCCTTGGCTTCCATGACGTTTTATTTGAAATACCAAATTACAACGATGACATGAAGTTGTACAGTAAGACATAACAACTCTGTATGTAGCTGAGTCACATCAGTGTTAGCGATGAGAGCACATTACTAGCAGCTGCAACTTTTTCCTCTACAACACTTAGGCAGTTGAATCCAAGATGAGCAAGCAGTGAACACAAATATATGCACCATTGAAAGAACACATCTACTGCTTCTAGCAATAGGTTTGCATATACACTATACAAGACCAGGCAGCTATAAACTATATCAGTTAGAGAAGATTTTGCTTTATAAAACTTTGGTAAGTGATGTTAAAAAGAACACAGAAAAACACATTATGACTTCAGGAGAAATTCTTGTGACACATCAAAACATACTACAAAAAACATGTCAAAATGAACATACTGGTACCAAAAGCAAATCTACTTTTTCCCTATAATTTCTTTCAGAGACACTTTTTTCAAACATAATATCTAAAACCAAGAAATGGGAGGTATTTTAATAAATGATTTTCGAAAAGACTTGCACAAAATACTTCAGTGATTTACTACACTAATTCCCAGAGCACATTATCTTCAACGTGTTTGTGCAAATTATAAAAGTGAACCGCTTCCCTCAAGCAAGAGGAATGACAATTTTAAACTACAGAGTAATCACGGCTTTAATTTACACTTGTTACAGCTGCCTTTAGAAACAGCCAGAAGCACGTATGTAGCTAGCTACATACACAACAGCTTACTCATTGATCACAGGCCTTCTTTCCTTTAAATTCACAACTACCTCTTACAAACTCCACAGGGAACAGTCAATATTAATTTCATCATTTCAACTACCACCAGAAGGAAAAAAAGCTTTTGTTACAGCTTCTGCAAAATGATTACTTTAAGCGCTGTGAGCTCTACTAGCCATTCAGGCCTCCTTTTAGGCACTCGGAAAAGATTAGATATTTAGTACTAATACTTTAAATCTTCATTCGCCTGGTATCTTTCACTCAGGAATGTCAACAAGCAAGCTACAGATAAACTCTTCAATGAGGTCCTTATCAAAGATCCAGTGTCCCTTGGATCCATTTACATAGGTGACAGACTTCTTGTCCTGGTCTTTTCTGTTAATTTCTGCAAACTGGGGGGTAAGTAAATACGGTTCCACTAGAAATCACTGCAAGGTTGCATTTACCAGTCTTTTATTCTACAACAAGTTCTCAGGAAACATCACTTCTTATGCCAAATTCAGACTGTCCGCCTACTTCTTTTCCCATTTAAAAATAAATGGGATTAAACCAAGTCATTTTAGCGGCTACTTGCTTTGTTTTCTAAACGCATAGAGCTAACTTACTAGCAATATTAGCAAGAATTTTCAGTCATTTGAAGCACAATTCATCTTCTCAAATGGATACATAAGCAACTCATGTTCTGTGAAATCATTTTAATACTTATTCCTACAGTAAGATACATGTAGCAACATAGTCACCAAGGAAAGAAGGCCTAACAGCTGTTGATGAGCCAACCTATTGTATTGTAGGAGATATCCATTTCCTTTCAAAAATTTAATTCGAAACCTACTTGGACAACACCAAACAGCCTTTATTGGAGGGCTGGGGAGAAAAAAGAAAAGCAAGTCTTGTGGGAAGAAGCAGGAAGAGAAACAAAAGGGTCTTGATATACGCTCCCCAGCACTAGGCTACAGGATTCTTCGGGCCAGTGGATGATGCTCCTCAAATTACACACTACCTGTGAAGCACCTTAAACATGTCCTACTTCAGATGCCCAGGACTAGCAGAAACATCATAACGATACCCAGCAAAATAAAGAGAAGCAGAAAAGTGCATAGCTTATATTAAGCAAACATTTTCCCTTGTTGCAAAAATCTAAAGCTTCTTCCTTATATTAAGGGTTTGGTTTGTTTGAGGGGTTTTTTTAATTATTTTTTTTTTTGACACAAGATTTGAGTTGTAAGAGCACAACATCTATCACTTTGTAAGTTGCACTCCAAAGTTAATTATTTTCACAACAAAACCTTACTGCACAGGAATATGTTATTCATTTGATCAAAACAAAATCATTAAGCTTTACTCGTGCAAAAATTAACCAATTAAAAGCCTATTTTAAGAATAAAGTTTTATGAGAGTTGCCTTCTCATAAACAGTCACAGCTCCTGCAACTTTGCTTTCACAGCAGCTCTGAATTTGTGCACTCACACTTCTTGATGCAGAAAATTATTATAAAGTTCTTCAGAATCAATGCAGCCATCTCAAGCAAAAGTTAAGTATTGCTCAGTGAAATATTTGAGACAGTTTTTCATCTGTGCATCTACCAAAAGCAACTTAAAAGCTTCTTCTAAAGCAAGTTTAACTGATTAGTTCAGAATCCCTTGCTCCTCATAATCACATGCTGAAGACCCCTGCCATTTCAAGGGCTTATTTTCTGAGCTACTAAAGAAACTGGTACTGAAAATGTAATGAATTACCACCACTAGTTATAAAGCCATAGAATTCAAGCCTGAAGTTATGCCACAACTGCACGCAAGACGTTTGTAAGTTCTAAATTTTAAGTTTTCTTAGAAGACAGGACTCAAAAAAAGACAGATGCAGGTCTTTAGCTTACAAGACTTAAGGCTTAAGGTGAAAGTAAAAATACTTGTTTTCATAAACAAAAAACAAAGAGCAAAGTATTTAGAAGAATGCACAGACAAATCCAAAGGTTGGTTGAGCGTGCCCTGCTTTGACAGTTATGGGAAAGATTTACACACACCCAGTCAGCAGAGAACTGTATCACAGGCTAGCAAAAGGACAGAAGTGCGGACAGAAATTCTGAGTTACAATTTTAGAGATGAGAGTTCAGGTCTACCACACCCCTTCTATGCAGCCCTTGAAAAGGGGGGTTGGGTTTGGATTTATTTTTGTTTTTAATTCGCTATTCTTCCCACTTCAGAAAAACAAGCAACAGACAAGAAAATGAACACAAGGCAGTATGCAAAGAGTAAGTTCCTTGAAACAAATACAGTCAGATACAACATACACAGAACACCTTTGCCTCCTAGTTTCTTTCAATTTGGTAAAGCTTCAGGCTACCTCAGAAAGAGAATCTGACACTGAAGGACGATGTCAAGAAGAATCCTGCAGCAACAGCTGTGCATCAAGCTTGATTCTTTCAAAAGCACTGTTTTCAAATTCATAAATGAAGAAAGCGAACTATAGGTTACACATTTAGTTCCTAAATGTTTAAGACGTGTTAGAGAAATGTAATAAAATTAATAAAACTAACATTTAATCTTTTCAATTTGTGCTATTTTCCTAGGCACCTACCAAAGATGCTGAAGTCATTTCCAGAAGACAAGTATCTCTTAATAACAGTTTACAAAATAGACTAGAACACTGAGGAGCATTTAGTTGTTGGATAAATGACATGTTATGAATAAGAAACCTCACCTAGAAAAAAAAACTTAAAGGAAATATTACAGTTACCAAAGGAGTACTCATTTAAGATGTTGACTCCTACAGCACATCTTGTTAGAAGACACCTTTCATAAGGCTAAAGTAATCAAGGAGTGGGAAACTAACCATAACAAATAGTTTTTGCTCAAGGAAAACACTACACAGTGAAAAACTGAATATACCATCAATGTGTTCCTTCAAAGTGTCCATTCACGTCACACTTAGGTACACGTCCTGTTAAAAATACGGGTAACCGCAGTGACTTGCTTTACTCTAACACAGCTATCCCATCGACACAGAAAGACTACTTGGTCGTCTTGCATTAAAAGCAAATACTAAGACAGACTATGAAGTTTATTTCTTTTGCTGCAAACGAGCAGGTTTAGTCTCATGACATTTCCTGAAGATCAAAGCTGATGTTTTTGATACTTCCTATTTACAAATTTCTCCAACAAAGTAAGATTTTGCTATGTGTTATTTCAGAGCATTCTTTTTCTTATAAAGCAATACTTTCCAAAAGTATCGCTGCCAAACATTTTAGAATAAAGACCCAAGAAGAAACGTGCACATGCAGGCTCCTATTCCATATTACCTGTAACTAAAATTTGCCTTCCTAAACGTTAGGAATCCTTCAGCATATCAGAGCTTAACCCCCATACAGGGGAAAACCTGTCTGAGCAAAATTAAAAGTAGCTGGACCAAACTAGAGGCTGCATTTATACTACTGGATCAGCTTAACTGCCTAATAAAACATGTTTTCATCATAATCATTAAGGGCAAAAATTGCAATATGTGAAAGCACACTGCATGAAAATTGGAAGTCTGGTGTGTTCATTAACACAACAGCTTTACACTTTTGATATATACATCTGCAGCGTTAGGCACACCATTTACAAGAACTCCTTTACTTGTGCTTGTTTGTTTTCTGAACAACCTCACTGTTTTTCCTATTGCTCAAGCCCCTTAGGAGAAAAGAAAAAAAAATTATTGTTCTTCACTTGAAGTATTACCAAAGACACTGACCACATAAGAGTTAACATGGAGGTCACAAGTATACTTTGTTCTGGTTTTAGGCAGGGTACTAAAAGCTTTAATAAATAAATAAATAAACAAAGCATGCAGACTGGCCAAGCTATAATAAAAGTAATTCTTGATTATTTAGGGATGACAAATACGTATTTTAAATATTCAGACTACAAAGCATGCAGTAACTTCAATAAATACAAGCATCTTTCTTAAAAGTTTCATCTGCTAATAAAACAAGCCTACAGGGTCTATGTTGGCTATTTCAGCCATTTACATCTCTTCTCCCTGCTGGTACATGTACCGTACACACAGGTTTTTTTTCTTTTCTTTTTAAAATGGACCTTTGTTTCTTATTTCCTGCAACACTTCATCTTTTAATTTGCTGAAGTACTTCACCCCTTGTTTGGGTTATATTAGCAGTGAGCAAGACACCATGGCTCCCCTTCTATATTTTTAAAATTCTTGTTATGCCATTTGTTTCTCATCAGTCCCGTTTACCAAAAGATTTTTTTCAAATCAAAGCTTGTAGTGACTTTACCGTTTTCATAGCTAATACATCACTTCTTAATAACAAGCTAGCTTAAGCTAGTTTTAATTTTGCTTTACCTGTAACAGCCTGTTCCATACATGCAAGGTGTCCTCTTATGCTTGATCTGTTTGGAGCTTTCTGAAGCATCTGCACTTCTGGTTGAATCAGAAATCTCAGTCTCGTAATCCAGATCTGCATCAGGCTCAAGAATCCCTTCCTGGGCACCAAAATATTGGGAAGTCCTGCCCCCGTGAGCTTGTTGGCTTGTAGAACCAGTAATCTGCTCTTTGTTTTCTGTTTCCTCAATTCTATTTTCTTTACTGGAGATCTGACCTACTCTTTTAGACCATTTACTATGCAGCTGCCTATCATTTTTTTCCAGAGAACTTCCAGGGTTTTTTGTTCCAGTCTTGCCATTTCCTTCCATGTTCCTCATGGTATTCTCAAGAGGAAATCCAGATGTATTCTGTGGAACAAGGTTACATTTTGAAGGACCTGAAAATTTACACTCTTCAGAATTAAAAGCTTTAAGGTCAAACTCTGCCTCATCATTCCTGTTTTTAAAATCAGAGAATCATAGAACAGCCCAGGTTGGAAAGGACTGCGAAAGATCATCTGGTCCATGCTTTAAAATCTTCTGCTCCACTTTCCAAACTCAAGTTAGTGGCTAAATACAGCTGCTGAATGAAAGGCTCAAATTAAGAACACACACACACACACACACGCTTTAAATAAAAAATTTATCCTCAAGCTCCCGTCCTCAGCTTCGGTTCCCTCACAACACAGTCAGGCTCCTCTCTTACCACCTCAGCTCGTGAGTAGTCCAAGGACTTTAGTTTAAATTAACTTTCAATGAAAAGCACTGCTCCTGAAAAATTAATGGGGATTATACATGTGAAGATACAGTAGACTCTAGAAGGATGTACGCTCCTATACAAGAATCAATTTTAATCCCTCAAGTACCAAGATATATGGAATATATATATTTATCTATATACGGGAGATATATGGTAATTCATGATTTACGTCTCGACCTTAATCCCACCCCAATACATCTTAAATACTTCAGCTCATGGCTCTAAATCATAGACCAGTTTGTCAGTAGATATCATCAGGCAAAGACTTCAGTTTTGACAAATACTGCATTTTAAATTTTGGAACACATGTATGTTTAAAATGAGAGACGTGTGCTTTAGAAAAAGAATACGAGATACATAATCAAGACAAGAACATTGTCCCGACAACTGAGACACTACCTGGAAGCATACATGTATTGAAGGCTGACTACTCTGATGCATTACAGAACTATTCAAAAGTCTCTGCTCTCTACAGTTTATTAGCTAAGTTTCCCCTCCACTAAATTTATACTTCGTTTACATGGATGTGTTTGGCAGAGCGTGAAAATCAGCTGGTGGTTTCCTATTTCATTTTGTTCCTTTCAATGCAAGCCTCATAAAATGTTAACCAAAAGTAGAGACAATTACATTTGAGCAGCAATGTGATTGGGAAGGGGCAAAGTCAGCATTAATATCCAATGATCCTGACAGCAGCATATCTAGTAAGCCAACTCGGAGACAAAGATGACTCTTTTATCAAGACTCACAAAAAGGCTCAGCAAACAACTGCAGCTTAGGAAATAAGCCTTCATTTGCAAAAGGAAGACTAAATCACTCTAGTTTGCCACTCCCGCTTGTGACTTCTCTACTATATCCTTCAATCCATTGCCTGTATTGTATATAATGAGACTAAACACTTTCACATTCATTATGATGACTAGTTGAAAAACAGGTTGCAGTCAAGCAAAACCAAAGACAACAGCAGTACTGGCGCTGGTTACAACACACACATGACCTCACCACCATCTGCCGGCTGCTGGCCCTTAGAAGAACTAGGACTCTTTGCTTCCTACCCTACAGTAGGTTTTCTCAGTCACCTTAAATATGACAGCAGGGCCATGATTTTGGTTTTGATACCAAAATTCTAATCTTTCAGAGTTCTCTATGATTATTACTTTTGCTTGCTAACCCATTATTTTTTCTGCAAAGTTCTGAAGGCAATTTCTTACACTGTGCTTGAGATAAAAATGATTTATGAAATTATTTGGAGAAAATAAGTAAGGTTTCATACTTACAAACTGTAAAATGAAATAATCCATTATGTAGTCACTCACCTTATAATTTGACAAAGAGAAAATAGCACCGCAGCAGGTGTTAATGTACCTAGTCAACAACAAAGCTCACCACTCAGAACACTTTTTCAGATTAAGAGATAGCACTATGTTATATCAAAACTACCCTGACGGGTATGCTTTCCATGAGTAGATCATTTCAATTAACCTTAAGATTTCATTAAAAAACAAAACCAAAACCCCAATAGTTTTCAGTGTCAAAACCGACGAAGCATACCAAATAATAGTATTGTATTTTATCAGATCCTAGAACAGATCCAGGCAATTCTCATGCTAGAGGTTACAAATACCTCCCCACGTCGTTCAGTTAAAGGAAGAAAATCAGCAAAAGTCTCAGTTTGCTCTCACCAGAACATGTTTTGTTTGTCTTCAACAATGATCCTTCTCTTTTCATTACTAGCAGGGTGCTATCAGTAAGTATTTAACTGCCTATAAACACAGCTGTACTTTGAGGACACACAAACATTGACCAGCCAGACTGAAGCGTCTGTTCGGTCATTGCCACAGATCATTTTGGACCTCAGATTACTTTTTTTTCTTTCCTTTTTTTGACTCAGATTTTGAGGCAGTGGCATAAGCACACTCCATGCTACCTTTCTTCAAAACATAGCCATTGCTAAGCCACATACCATAATTTTCTGACCATAGAACTTCGCCAACTAGTTTGGGCAAAGTCCAGTGTCTCATTACATCAGTGCCATACCATCACCTAGTCCTAAAGGGTCCTCAGAGAAAGAAACCACACACCAAGCCACTCCTAGGACCAGTACTTTGGCCCATGTCTTCCAGTCTCTTGCTGTAAAGCTGAAAGTCTGGTATTTCTGTGGAACATTTGGGGCCTAAGTCCCAGATCTCAAGAAGAAAGCACAGAAAACCAAGTCTCTGAAGGCTTCCACAATCCTTGCTATAGAGCTGTCCAACGGACTGGCATTTCAAAACAACTGTTAAAACACCACATCACAAGCAGAACACATAGTTATGTTGTAAACCCAGCCTTCAGTGTGACATTGCCGACCACATTCTCATTTTTTGAAATACCACGGTTCTGCCCTGAGCCAAAACATTACCTGAGATGAAGGGACAGGGATGGAAAGACAGCTCCTTTTCCCTTGATCTTGCTCTTCACCTTCAAAATCCTCTATAGTTTCTTCAGAAGCTAATCTTTTTTTCTGCTGCACGTTTACTTCTGATTTTAATGACTCCATATTGCATTCTCCCCTTCCTTGCTCTTTTTTCATTCTACTACCTTAAAAGAAAATTAAAAGGGTGACTTTTGGAATGCAACTTTTACAGTGAAATCCTGACATTAGAAATCTAAAGCTACATCGAAGCAGAACACTGGGCAAGAAGCATGGAAATAGCAGCAGTTGTGCATGTGCTGTTTCAACCACACATTTTTCACTGCCCGCTTATAAGAGTAAAAAGTATGTTTTAGAATGAAACAGATGTTTGAGGGGGAAATTTGGAAGAAAACAATATGCGGCAAAGGATATTCTGGACTGACTGTATGACTGACAATTTCATTTCCACAACAGGAGATGATCAAGTGAACCACACGTCCAAGGACAACTTTTACCTCAGACCTTCCACGTAAGTATCTCTTCAGACTACCAGTTTATACACACGAGCGTTATTTAGGACACAGCAAAATCAGGGTATGCCCACTTGCCTAGTCAACCACATCACAGTTGATTATTTCACCAGCCTGGAATCAACAGAAAGACAGCAAATGTTGTGCCTCTCTTTGGAAAGCTTCACATCTCAGAAAACTGTAACATCTCCATACTGAAGTAGTATTTTCTGGATATACAGCTGGGAGACAGCAAGGGCCGTTGTCCTGGTTTTGTTACAGCTCCATCTGCTGCAAAACGCATTCAGAAGAAAGGTAATTGATGCCATTTTGCAAGACTTCAAAAACTCTGCCACTTCAAAAAATACTGATGTGACGGACTCACGTGTATGAAGCAAGGAATTTTTCCAATTTTTAATGTCCAACTTCAAAACCACAGATTGGTGTTACCTTTCCAGTAGGACGACAGACAGAAAAAAAAAAATAAATAAAAGGGCAGCCTTTTAGGTTTACTCTCTGCCTTTCTACCTTCCCATCCAATACCCCCCTAAAAAGATGCAAACCATTTCACAATTTTAAGGAAATACTTTAGATTTGCAGGACAGATTGGTTGTTTTATTAAAGCAGCCCATTCTAAGCTGGAATCATTATCTCACGTAAAGACTTTTTACGCAGCTCCAACAGTGTCCGTATGTATCCCTAGCTCCCTCAAGGTCAGGCCTTCAACAGCAGATACCCCTTGCCCACACAGCTCCAAATCTCGTCACCTACGTGATCCAATTGTTTGGTCTTTGAAACAAATGTCATATACACATCGATAACGAACACTACAGTACTTGTGGAGAAAACAAACAAACAAAAAACTCCAAACATAAGAAAACAATCACACAGTGCAGGACTCGGCACAGCCAGCAGAAGTCCCCCGGTACATGCCATTTTGAGGTAGCTTTTGAGGAAAGGAATAGGCAGGGTAGTTGATGGCGTACAACAGAGGAGTTTAAAGCCACAATTGCCCAGGTCAATCCACCCAGACACCTGCATTTACTACAGGAGATAAGAAGCAATTGCTCAGACACCATATGAAATACTTCTGCAGGTCTGCTTGGGCATCAAGAGACAAATTTCTCCATTTAATTTTCTTTTAATTTCTCCAAATTTCACCATCTCAGCAGAAATAGCTGGTGGAGAGAGGCATTAAAGAACAGCTGTTGGACACAGGGGGGGGACCCCCCACCCCCCAGCCACAGTTCGTACACAGTTCGTGACTGACTGACAAAGGGAACTCAGCTGTTAGCACCTAAACCACCCCACACCTCGCCGCAGAACAGCAAGCAGGGCGGGACATGCCACCTTCAGCGCCAAGACAGACAGAAACGCTGGGGGAGCGTGTTAATGTACATAGTCATTTTCCTTCTCATCTCCCATTTCTTTAGTCCTCCAGTTCCATCGATAAAAGTCACCAGAGCAATAAATGCTTTGCAGTAAGTTTGTCAGAGAATGTCTCAGGGCAGTTTAGAAGACTTTACAAGCTCCCAGGACCAAAGTTAGACATGCTAGAAGATTTTCTTGGGATTGTGCCAATGCCGCACACTTGTGTCTCCCATTGATGGTGACGAAACGCAGTATTCTGCTGCTGTTACCGCTGATACACAGCAGCAGAAGTTTATTGTGCATTCAGCAATTGCCTTTTGCGGGAAGGACAAGAGGAAATGCAATACCACTTTAGCCTCATATTGGTAAGAAACTGCTATACTGTGATGAACTGCTCCTCCTAGGAAGTAACTTTGGAGTAAGTGATCAAGTTTGTGATCAAGCTCGATTCAGTCACAGTTTAAAAAAATAACACCCACCACTCAAAAAAACCCCTACCTGTAAAATCTGTGAAATTAGAAGAATCTAAATTTAGAAGAGCAATACATCAGTGACTTAAATGTGGAGAAGGCTTGGAATTAAAGGTACAGAAACTACCTAGAATTTACATACTAAACAAAACAGCCAAGTTTATAGGAAGGGGCTCCAGAACATCAGATATTCAGCTGTCCAAAGAGAGTATATTACCTAGCATTAAAAAAAAAAAAAGAACAGAAGGAAAATCAACTGATCAGAAGGAGCTCTGTCACACCCATAGGATGGCCGACAAAGGAGACAACAGAAGTCAGTCTCTGTCAGCTGCCAGGCATCAGGCATGGAGCATGGAAAGAGAAGTAACAAATTAATACTTTTTACCACCACCATTACAATTGGAGAAAATGTTCTCAAAGTACATAAATGTATATTGGTATGCAAACGTACTACACTGCACACCTACCTCCTTTCATCACAGGCTCAGAAATCCTCTGAACCAGGAGATCGCTTTCCAGCATCCAGGATGGAAGCATTCTCTTTCTTTGAATAGATTTTGACTGTTCACTTTCATTATCATCAGAAAGAGGAACCTGAAACAATATTTACTGTTTAGTACCTTTTTCCACTTACAAAAGACGGGGGAAAAAGCTAGATCACAAGTTAATATGCAGTTATGTCCTTCAAACACAGCCTGGATAACTACTGACTTTTTGGATGCTGCCCATTGCCTGATTTTTTTTTTTTTTTTTTTTACAGTTCCTACTCACTCAGAAGAACTTTCATGCAGTAAAAAAAACCTCCCTAGACCTTTGGAATAATATTTAGAAGGCTGCAAACTGAAAGTTTCATAGAAGAGCTTTACCAGCATCCTGCTACAGCGTTTCCACACAGAGAGATAAGAGAAAGAGCAGGTTTCACAAACAAATGCCTATTTGTTAAAACAATCCCAGAAAAGTCTTACTAGCATTCTTTTGATTCCCTTCTCCAGAAAGGAGCCACACTCTAAATCTTGACTATAAAAACAATGTAAATCCACCGAAGTCACATTCAGTACATATTCACAGAAAGTAATAACTCTCGGTTTGAATCCCTACTCACTAAAAGGTAAGTACCCACCCCAGGAATCTCAGCTCCAGTAAAGGCTGACATTTCATTTGTTGTACGCAGTTACTACCTACTGTACAATGATGCTGACCAACGTGTCTCTTTTAGCCCTGTGTTGCTGGATACACAACAGAAGATCTATGAAAAATCCCGCTGGCTCCATACACTATTTATGAGACTGTCTGAAAGCCATTTGACTTGGCAACATTTAAGAAAAACAAAAGATGCTTGCTTTGAAAACTCTGTTTTGCTGGACAGCATGCTAGCTGCCAGGGGAAAACTGGCGGGTTCTTTATCTCTGTGTTTGTATGGATCTTGACAACACAACTCCATCACAGCTGTACCATCCAAATGACATAGGTTGCTAATGCCCTATAAACAGATATTACTTATAGCCAGCACCAGGCATCTACAGGGCAACTACCAGCTCTCCAGATATAAATTTCAGAGGTTTTTAGGCTGGTTGGAAGAACGATCATTTACTCCCCAAGGCCTTCGCAGGTACGTACAGGGCAGTTACTGATACGGACCAGAGACCAGAACTGGCTTTTGTTCTGTAGTACTGAACTTGGCTACAACATTGCTAGTTCAAAATATTCCTGTAGCAATAGTAATTTCTGTATATTTGAGAGAACAAATTACTGCATTGTAATCATCATAAACATAAATATACAACAGCAATATATTTGTATATTTGTATAGCACACAATCCCAATCAATGAAACAAGAGATACTTTGTCTACACAACTTTCATTGTCCTAATTTACTTCTCAGGAAAAAAAAAGGTTTAGAAAACACAACGCCTTTTTAATTTTCAGCACATGCTTATAAATACTAAGTTTAATTAAAAAATTAAGCACCCACCAAATGTCTGGAAGTAGCATCATTTTTTCTCATTTTTGTGGCTCCCTGTATCTCAGAGGCGGAACAGGCTGGTTCTATTAACAACGGACTACAAGACATCTCCACAGGATAAACAGTTGGTGCCGCTTCTGCATCAGCCTCCTGATTTTTTTCTGACAAAGCAAAATAGTTTTTAGCTCGTCAAACTCATCATAAATATAAACATTCACTTTTTACTCAGAGAAGCTGGTCTGAACGTTTGCCATTAATACACCTGTGAACTGAACGTAATGTACTCTTACATCAATTTACAGAGGAAATAAAAGTCTTCCTTGCTACCTTCCACTGAAAGTATTTTGAACAGATTTTCCAATCTCTGCTGACTGCGACTGCAGCGTTCTGAAGTACGTAATTCATACTAGTCACTGCCATGAGAAAACTCTGAGAAAGCTGAAATTACAGCTTACCGTAAATCTGTGCAACTGCCCAAAATGTGATCCTATACCAAAAGCCAACGTTAAAATACAGCCTGCGGGATCAGACGCCCAAGGAATCAGCACTTCTTGGGGAGTTCTCACCAAAGGCTACAAGTCTGCGGCCCCGACCTGACACCACGTACTCGGCTGCTGCTTTTCAAAGCCTCAGTTCAGAGCCACCACCTCTGAAACGCTTTTCAGTCGCGACAGCGCGCCGCGACTGCGGTGCTTTTCCCTCGAACGCCTTGCCCTTCCACGAGCCAAGTCACGAGCACACAGAATTAGGGGGGGAAAAGGCCTGATGATGCTGCTTTCACCGCACAGCTCCACTCGGGAGCCACCGTCCCCCCTTTCCACGGCTTTTCGCCTCAGGGGGAAGTTCATCGCCTGGGGAAGAGAAACACCAGAGGCCAAGCTCTGGCCCCTCCCGCTTCCCCAAACAGGCCCCTCCAGGTGTTTTTCCACAGGTTTCGGTTCTCCACGGGCTCCCCCCGCCCCTTCCAC